CTAAAGCTCCCCTCACCTCCCTTCAAGCTGGGAAAATCGTAAGATTAGTGTGAAAATGGTGATTTGTAGTGAATTTTTAGGATATACTGTAATGTAAACACTAGTGACTCAGAATGGAGAAAATTCAAATCTTTACTACTTGAAGTTAGAATGATTAACTGGTTGTACTTCTCAGAGGAAATATTTGATAAAGTTTTGGAATTTAACATGGAAAAACATTTTGGTAAAATAAGGCCAAAAAGTATTAAATTGGATGGGTAAAAAGTAGAATCCTATAAACAAATATTCTCTAAATTTAAAACTCCTACTGAGAACATGAAACTACATTCTGGAAACGGGAACTGCAGTGACTCCCTGCCATTATGTTTATATTGCTGGCTCTCATTTGTGCCCTTCCTTCATTACTATTGATTGACATGTTTTGATAGTGGAGCTGGAGACAAAATCCTGTTGAAAAGGGATAAACTAATTCGGAGCCATATACCAATTTCCTTTAAACATGTCAAATCATCGTGGTTTGACTTACACACCTTATGAAGAATTTAAGTTTATCTCGAGATCTTACACCATTAAAGATGTTGTACAAAGCCAATTGATTTGGAACATGTTTCCAAGCAGTGTTGCATTTTAGTTTATTATAGCACTGAACTAAACTCACATGTAACATAAATCCAATGGATGGACAAGGCCATTAGTACCTTCTGAACAAGATCAGGATTCATAAAAGGCGAATAGGAGCAGATCCATGATTTGTTAGTTTGGGCACAATGCATCAGTAGATTCAATTTTTAAAAGTCATCTGCATCAGATATTTCGAAGGAATCAAAATAAGACATACTTTTAGGGACTACTTCAGGTAATTACAACTTACTTTAGTTGTGTGGATGTTTCTTATTGCCCTTTACACGAAACTGATATTCAGAATGTAGGAAGCATAGAAATGAGTCTTGGCCATTACGTTGAACATGGTCTCTTGCAGGAAGTGTAATGGGTGGTTATTTGACTGCCTATATAAGATTACAATAAATTGCTGTAGTCCTTTATAATATGTTTCGGTGGAATTAATAACTCTGGTAGTTGAACAGATCTTTTCATTTGAAGCTAAAATTCATTTGGCAGCAAATGTGGAAAAGAAAACTTCATGCTTCACTTTGACATGAAATTCAACTGATCAAGGCAGAAAATGATTTTAGCAGTGACTACTGTAGGGGGTCTCAGATATTTAATGAGTTACTCTAAAAATAGACTCGTACAATTTCAATTAAAAGCCCCTGTTTTAGCAAATAATGTAATTTCACTGTTAACTTCTCACATTTTGAATACATACATGGTCTAACTATACTTAACATATGTCCTCTATTGCCAGAGCTACTAAGTTTGCAAAAAGCTGTAATTAAATTACTACTGCCAGTATAGAATTAAAGAGGCATTATGCTGATATTATTGCAGTTTTCTGCATATCTTCTCATGATAAAGATATACAAGGGAATCCACATCAGCAATCTTTAAACCAGCTTTTTTTAAATGCATAAACTTACTGCAAAGTCCACTATCTCAAATATATGGAAGATTCAGACAGTACAGTATATTAAAAAAATCCATTCAAAACCACAGTTATAAGCTAATTACTGAACTTGACAAACGTGCAGACAATTCACAACGATCAAAGCGGCCCATTTTTGCCTGTTTTAAATATGAAAAGACGTGATTAGCATTCAAAAACTATAACTGGTGACTAACAATAGGAAATACAGAGTTCCCTCACTCTCTAAAGTTCTGACCCAGCTTTTGGCCACCTGACCTAATACCTTCTTATGTGACTCAGTGTTTTATTTTCTTTAGAATATCCCCATGAAGTATCTTGGGATGTTTTATTCCATTAAATAAAGTTGAAATCACCGTTGAACTTATGCTTTGGTACTCACCTGCATCTATGGCTTGAAAGGCTTAAAGCTGTCACCTTTTAGTGGTGTTTAACTCCAGCATATTGTTTTGCAAATCAAATCATTTTGTTGATAGTCAAAGCAGTCTTTTAATACTTGTAGATCTGTTTGAATTAAAGCTGTGTTAAACTGAACAGAATTTTCACTGTTTAACGTTTTTTCTGAGTGGAGAAATCTTCAGGCTGCAGTTGTTTTATATGTTACTTTTCAAAATGACTCTCTAATGCATTGGAATGAATTGAAGGAACAACAACAACTTGTATGTTGTGTATTTAATGGAATAAAACATCCCAAGATGCTTCATGGGGATATTCTAAAGAAAATAAAACACTGAGTCACATAAGAAGGTATTAGGCCAGGTGGCCAAAAGCTGGGTCAGAACTTTAGAGAGTGAGGGAACTCTGTATTTTAAGAGTTGAACTCTTTCTAAAATTTTGTCAAGTGTTGCATTTAACCCTACCATTAACTTGCAGTTTCTTTCAGTCTTAATGGTAAACAAGCTATTTGAGAGTAGCAGCTCCATAATTAGTTATTTATATGGCTAGTTAGAACTAGTTCCCAAGCCATCAGGTCTGACTCAAGTCTTTGGAATTCCAACTAATATGCATGAAGGAGATTTTTGCTCAGGCTCTGAATAAGTTGCATGTTTTCCAGCAAGATGGAGCACAGCTTTTATAGAATGCTGACCTAAGCAATTTGTTGAATGAGGAAGTTCGAAGTGATAAGGGAAGAAGTGATGTTCTGGTTTACAGAACAAGGAGGATTTGAAAGACACTGTAGGACACGCCAAGACTTGAGAGCTGAAATCCAAAACATTAATAAGATGAGCAAATAAGTAATTGGTTGTTCAGATTTATGGCTTTTCTAAATACTAAACAGGGAAAGTAGTTGAAATTCACACTTGGACAAATTTCTAACCTTGGAAACCTAATTAAACAAAATACAAAAGAGAGTTATTTTCCAATCAGCCTGTTTAGGAATGTTATGACATACCTCTGGACCAAGTCAGATTTAACTAGGTCTCCTAGTTCAGGGGCAGAGACATTATCACTTCCTCACAAGAGCCCCTTTACAGAGATGGTAAGGCAGGTAATATGTTGCAGCTGTAGCTTGTGGATGCTTGTAGACAACGCTGTGATTCTGGGCCAAGAGGCCTGGGTTGAAGTCCTGCCTGCTTCAGAGGTAATAAACCATTGTGATTCGCAACAGTTCCATTTGCAAGAAGTGACATTTTGACAAGCTTTGGTTCTGAGTTGATAGCTAGAATCTAATCTTCAGACACTGATGCATCAAGGAAGGTGTAAGTTACCGGGACACTTTGGTCCAGGGAACAGTCATACACCTTGAATTAGCTACTTCAAATTTGATCTGTGGTGAGTGATCAGAGAAAATGATTGAGTGAGGCAAGTATGGGACAAATTTAGAGGATGTCAGCTTCCTATGCCAGCTAATCAATTTTTAAAATTATTTCAAAGGATATGAGCATTATTGCCCTTGAGATGATGATGAATTATCGTCTTGGACCACTGTAGTCCATATCGTGTAAGTAAACTCACAATAGGAAGGAGGTTTCAGCATTACATCAAGCCAGAGGATCAACCCAGGCTCAGTGAAGGAGGGTATGCCAGGAACAGCACCAGGCAAACGTAAAAATGAAACGTTGACCTAGCAAAGCTACAAACAGGACCAAGGAGATTCAGCAGTTTGATCCAGCGACAGATATGGGTTGGCAATGTGGTTCCAAATATGAAGTATGTGTGGTTTGGACAGGAGTTTGCAGGTTGTGCATCTGTGCCCTTATCCTTCTGGGTAATACAAGTCATAAATCTAGAGCATGCTGTTCAAGGAGCCTTGATGAGTTGCTGTTGTTCATTTTGTAGGTGGTGCACACTGCTGCCGATATCTGTCAGTGGTGGAGGAGATGAATGTAAAATGTGGTGTACAGGGTGAAAATCAATCAAGTTGCTTTTTCCAGAATTGTGCAGACCTTCTTGAGTGTTGCTAGAACAGCACTCCTCCAGGCGAGTGAAGAGTATTTCACTCGTGACTTGTGCCTTCTAGATTGTGGACAAGCTTTGGGGAATGAGGAGATGAACTGCTTACCTCGGCATACGTAATTTCTGACCTGTTCTTGCAGCTACTGCATGTATAGGCTGATCCAGATCACTTTCTGGTCAGTGGTTGGCCCCAGGATGATCATAGTGGAGCATTCAGCAATGGTAATTTGTTAATGTTGTTAAATATCAAGAGGAGATGACTCTGGCTGATCTTCCACTTTCTGTCCTCCATAAATATAAGTTATCCAAAACTCTGCTACATGTGTGCTAATTTACATTAAGTACTGTTCATCTGTCAATCCCGTGCTTAATGATGTCCATTGGCGCATGGTTAGGTAACGATCAATTGTAAATTTTTCATCTTATTTTCAAGTTCTTCCATGGATTTAGTCCTAATCTCAGCTAAAGCTACAAATCTCTAAAATAGCATGCGCCTCAAATTTTGGCTACTTAAGCATCTCCTGAGCACACTAAACCGTTGACATCAGTTGCCAACACTCTAAGCTCTGGAATTTCCTCTTCACCTCTCTACCTCTTTTTCCTTCTTTAAGGTGTTCCTTAATGATCTAGTTGAATATGTGGTTAATGCCTTATTTTATTCACCTTTGTGAATTCCCTTGTAACATTTTACAACATTAATTGTGCCGAATAACTACACGTCATTGCTGCACATATTATGTCATTAAATTGAAGATAAACAGTTTTCATTTTGCTTTTTGTTTTCTTGGGAGAGATGTAGGCTGTTGGAGTTGTAGATGACAGCAGGGCAACCTATTCACTTTGTACCATTAATGTGGGATGACAGTTACATTAAACAAATAGTATGATGTGATCTTTGTTGTTTAACCTTTTTCGTGTCAAATACGTCACACAATATACAGACTAGTATTAATAGATGTCTGTGATCAAAGTTTAGTCAACCTACTGGAACCTTGAAGAATAGTAATGAAATATTCATAATTGCCAATAACTGATCAATTTCCGATTATCTCCTTTACAGAATCTACCAGTGACTCGGATTTTGGACAACCTCATAGAGATGAAATCACATCCTGTGAGTAAAATTCCTAGCATTTAACTTGCAAGATCAGAAAGGCAAATTGAAAATTAAAATTACCCAGTATCTGTACTTCATTCAAGAGTTTAGATGTCCAGGAACAGGTATAGGCCATTTAGCTGCTCAGGCCTGTTTCTCCATTCCATGAGAAACCCTCGTTATTTATACTTCAGTTTCATTCACCTACCTGTGCTCCATATACCTTGATACCCTCAATGAAACAAAAATGCTTCTTGATCTTAGTTTTGTAAAGTTTGATTAACTCAGTATCTCTGTTGTTGTGGCCAGGGTTTGCAAATTTCCACCACCCTCTTGTGTGAAAGATCTTTGCTGTTTCAGGTTCCATGCAGTCTTGGATTGCAACATCTGATTTGTATCGCATTGAAGTGCGGGCATGCAGGTAGAATTGACATTGGCTAATTGTGCAAATGTTCCTTGTGTTGTGACATTTATGCAATAAACAATATCTGCCGTATATATAAGGTTTAACCTGACAAAGTGGATGAAGTATAAAGTGGGCCGAATAGGAACAGATGTGTGAAAAGAATCCAAAACAATAGCTTGATCTTTTGCAGTGTTCATTTTGAGAAAGTTATAATTCATCTGGGATTTTATGTCAGACAAACAAACTGATAGCACAGAGGTAACTGTAAAGTTGAGAAAAATGATGGAGAAGTGACATTGAATGCCGGAACAAAAACAGAAGTTGCTGGAAAAGCTCAGCAGGTCTGGCAGCATCTCTGAAGAAAAAATCAGAGTTAACATTTCGGGTCCAGTAACCTTTCCTCGGAACCATTGGTATGGGACCTGACCCAGTGTTTGTAGGTGGATTTAATGAGGGCAGCACTTGGATGTAGAAGATAGGAGAGAGGAAGACAAGGTTAATTGGGATGCTCTGGAAGTGGTGATGCACATCTTTTTGTTGTGGAAGGGAGAGTAATTAGTGGCAAATCACATTAAGTCATAATGCTTATCGGAAAGCTGATGCTGACATGTTGGGCCAATGATCAGGGAAATAGGAGTGGAACCGCAAAGGGAAATCCCATGAAGTTGTACAGTAGTAGAAAGCTGAAAATACAGAATACCATAGACAGCCATGTCAAATATTATGGAATGGCAAAGAGCACTGCATCACTCAATTCCACATGTACATTTTCATTTGAATGCATGTTCATGAAGATTATTTGAAGATTGGAAATGAAATAGGCAATGAAATAGGCAAAAAATAATCAGGCGAGTTCTAACACAAATGTGCCGATTATACACCTGCACATACAGGATAGTAGAATATACAACCCTTAATAGAAATATGCTGATGTACCGCTACTTCCAAATAAACAGCTGTTTGCAATAAGACATTCTGTTTTCTACTGAGAAAGAATGAAAGGGTGTTTATGATTTGTGAAATGTAGTTTTTACTATGAAGTACTGTCCAGTCTTTATAAATTGTTCATGCATGTGTGGTTTCATGGATCAAAAAGAGTTAGTTAATGGACAGCAGCCAGTTCTGCAATACAGAACAATGGTTCTCTTTGTTTCTGGTAGCGGAGGAGAAAATTTAATTCCAAAATCATTAATGAGTCGGTGCCAAAGTGTTTAAAGAAGCCTGAAGAGCATTAGATGAAACTATTTAGACATCCACATCAGTAGACCATAAGATATAGGAGCAGAATTAGGCCATTTGACCCATTGAGTCTGCTACACCATTCAATCATTCTCAACCGCAACCTTCTGCCTTCTTCCCATAACCTTTGATCCCTGTACTAATCAAGAACTCATCTAGTCTTCTTAGCCTCCCTCTTCCCTCCAGCGTATAGTCTTTCTGTTTTCTTCTATCTCTCCCTCCAGTTAGCCACCAACTCTTATGATTGTCCTGAATACTGCACTCAATCTCAGTATTGAATCAGAGGGGGAATGGAATTAATGAGCCAAGCTTGACACTATTGTGTCAATAACACCATTTTGTCCAAATTAGAGTTTACCTTGTAGAAATGTGTATGCCAAGAAAACGGCAAATACTACCTGTCCTAAAAAGCCAAAAGAATTTATTGATACAAGTGCACAAGATGGAAAGCTTGTGATCAGCGATGTGGGTTCATGTGTCCAGTTAGTTGCATTCATTGTATTGAGTAATGGCAGGGTGGGGGCGATGACCAATTTGTTCAGTTGGCTAGATGATTTGTGTGTGGATCAAGATAACACTAGCAGGATTGGTTCAGTTCCCATTCTAGCTGAGATAAAGTTGAAACCTGGCTTCTCGCACTGCCTCTGAGATCAGAAGATAATAGAGAACCATCAGTGACAAAAACTATCAGGGAAGAGGCTCAGGATTAAGCATCAGAAGATATTGAGCCAAGAATCTATCTTTGGGTTGGACACTCATTAAACATGTTTTAAGTTTTAAAAAGAGATTCAAAATTTCAGTTAATAGATGAAAAGATAATATGACATGATTTCATGTTTTACAATATTTTCTTGTATTCAACGGCTAAAACAGCTACTGACTTAACACTATTTTTTTGTCAGTTGCTTCTTCATAAAATTACAGAGAGGAATGGTTCCATTTTATACTTAACTCCCCTCACATTCTACAGAATTATGGCTTTCTAGCAAAGTCTACAGTTGTTTCCAACTTCCTAGTTCTGCCAGGAATTACTTTGACTGTCACCAGGCATTTTCTTCAGTTTTAGGAGAGATTCTTAAATGCATTTTCAATTCCAATGATTCCCCTCCCCTGGTCACACCAGGAAGAGTATCCAGCAGTTGATGCCTGCAGGTTGTATCTCTGACTAGAGGTTGTTTCTCAGTTCTCTGGTTCTGATAGCAAACATAGGCTAAGAAAACGGTATCTTCTGCCCTGAGATAGCGGGAACTGCAGATGCTGGAGTCAGAGATAACACAGTATGGAGCTAGAAGAACACAACAGGTCAGGCAGCATCAGAGGAGCAGGAAAGTTGATGTTTTGGGTCGGGACCCTTCTTCAGAAATGTGGAGGAGGAAGGGAGCTCAGAAATAAATAGAGGAGGGGTGGGGCTGGGGACGGTAGAGGGGAACGGTGATAGGTGAGTGCAGTGGGCATTGGTCAATGGGATGGGAGAGGCAGATTGGTGGGAGAGAAGATGGACAGGTTGTGTGATGTCAAGGAGGCAGGGATGAGAGGGAGTGTTCGTCGTGGGATTTTTTTTTTCTTTTATTCATTCACGGGATGAGGGCGTTGCTGACCAGGCAGCATTTATTGCCCAGCAGGCAGTTGAGAGTCAACCACATTACTGTGGGTCTGGAGTCACATGTAGGCCAGACCAGGTAAGGATGGCAATTTCCTTCCCTAAAGGACATTAGTGAACCAGATGGGTTTTTCTGACAGTCGACAATGGACTCATGGTCATCATTACATTGTTAATTCCAGGTATTTATTGAATTCAAGTTCCACCATCTGCCATTGCGGGATTCAAACCTGGGTCCCCAGAACATTATCTGGGTCTCTGGATTAATAGTCCAGCGATAATACCACTAGGCCATCGCCTCCCCAGATGAGGCTGGGGGTGGGGAGATTTTAAAACTGGTGAATGCCATGTTTAGGCCATTAAGCTGTAGGCTCCCAAAGCGGAATATGAGGTGCTGCTCCTCCAGTTTGCAGGTGGTATCATTGTAACACTGGAGGAGGCCCAGGATGGACATGTCTCTGAGAGACTGGGAATGGGAGGGGGAGCTAAAATGGTTGGCAACCGGAAGGTGTTGTCATTTTTCGCGTACAGAATGTAGATGTGCTCTACAAAATGGTCTCCGAATCTACACTTGGTCTCAGCGATGTAGAGGAGGCCACATGGAGCAACAGATACTGTAGACCAAGTTGACGGATGTGCAGGTGAACCCCTGTCTGATATGGAAAGTTTGTTTTGTGACTTGAATGGAGGTGAGGGGGGAGGTGTGGGGGCAGGTGTAGCACTTCCTGCAGTTGCAGAGAAAGGTGCCGGTGGTGGTGGGGTTAGAGGGGAGTGTGGAGCGGACGAGGGAGTCACGGAGAGCGCGGTGCCTACAAAAGGCAGATGGGGTGAGGAGGGAAATATCTCTTTGGTTGTGGGGTCAGATTGTAGGTGGCACGTTGGATGCGGAGGTTGGTGGGGTGATATGTGAGGACAAGGCAGATTCTGTCTTTATTTTTAGTGGGGGAGGGGATGTGAGGGCAGAAGTGCAGGAAACACAAGAGATAGAACTGCTTCAGAGATAGTAGGAACTGCAGATGCTGGAGAATCTGAGATAACAAGGTGTAGAGCTGGATGAACACAGCAGGCCAAGCAGCATCAGAGGAGCAGGA